ACATGTCAGGTACTTCCTGCCTTAGGACTTTTGCATGGTCTTTCCCTTGCCTGGGATGCTCTTCAATCAGACATCCACATGAACAATCTTACTCACCACCTTCCAGCCTTCACTGATGTTAGTCAGTTTCTCAGTGAAGCGTACTGTGACCATCGTATTTAATATTGCCACCACCCTTACACTCCATATCCCCTTGTCTTGCTCTTCAGTAGATTTTTCAGGAAATATTTGATGAATGAATGAATACATATGGAATTAGAACATTTGACTTTGAAATTAGAAGAAAGCAACTTTGTTTTCTTTCATCCTTTGTCTTCAGGAAGAGTTCTCCACATACTGATTGAAAGAGCAAGATTGGACGTGGCAAGTTGTGCCTCTAAGTGCCATTCATTTTTGTTTTCAGAGTGCGAGAAAAAGGGGAGAATAGGAAACAGACAAGGCCAAAAGAAGAGAAAATGAAGGTCCAACCATGGGCAGTGGTGGAGTGCCTCTTAAAAGGATTCCTTTATTTTTATGGTACCTACATTGGCTGTCCTTCGTTTAGAGCCATCCCTTTTGAGGCAGCTTATTATGACTCAGTAGGTAGGGGCTGAGCATAATTTACTGTATTTTTGTTGTCATTATGGATATGAAATTTAATTATTACAGGCAACTCTGCAAAACAGATTTAATGTCAGAGTACCAGGAAGATTATTTTAGGTAATTAAAAGGTTATTACAAAATAGAAGTCTACCTAAGAATCAACATATCTAAAAATGCTGAAGTTTGCTAATAAAAATGCTGTATTAATTAATGGAATAAAAATAACAATGCTTGTACTAGATGCTGTCTTAATTTTGGGGAGTTCATTAAAAACATGATAGTAGTACCTAATTCTAGCAGTAGAAATATTTTTGTTTTTCCTATGAAGGGAATTAACTGCAAGCAGACAATATATTTCTGGAATTATATTAAGAACTAAAATTTATGAATTTTTCCTTTAATTTAAGCTATAACTTGTACATAAGTTACAGACAGGTAAACGTGTATTGCTGGCAGAATTTAGGGAAATGCTTATGTATATTTTGTGTTTCTTTTTTTTTCCTTAGGAGTCAGGACATATTAAGAAGCTAAAAATAGCTTCTTACTCAGGAGGAATGCCCCAGTGAGATTACCAGTTGTTATTTACTTATCTGTGCAGACCCATAACCTATTAAGATTTTTAAGAAGAGTAATGGTATGTTGTTTGATCCTAGCCTGAGAGCGTTAATTAAGGGGCACTTAGAAAACATTGCTGGAAATGTAAACTACAGAAGACATGGCCAGATGCCTATATATTGAGTCAAAGTTTATTACTAGGAATAGTCTGATTGAATTTAAGAAGGCTGTAGACTGCTATTCCTGGTATGTCCTGCCTAAGTAGTAGATTGGAAGTTTATTAAATAAAAATGCTATCACTTTCCAAACGTCATAGTTTAGTCTGCAAATATTTATAGAGAACTTGCTATGTGCCAAGTATGAGACACTGGGCAGTACCCTAGTGAATGAGAACAAGTGCCTCCCCTTAAGGATCGTAGAGTGCCGTGAGCAGTTCTGACCTAGTTTACTGACTGAAAGAGATAGATAATCATCCACAGGACTTTACTGTTGTTTTACGGTAACCATTTATGTGTTAAACCCTACAGTCTGCTTTAACAAAAACGTACCGTTAACTCCGCCACTTACTATCTGAATGAACTTGGGAAAATTACTTAATTTCTGAGTCTGATGTTTCTTAACTATAACAAAAGGATAATAATACCTTCCCCGCGATATTGTTGTGAATTTAAAGTGCCTGATTCAGTGCCTGGCATGTTACTGGTACTTCATACTTAGTACACTAGTCTGTCAGTTTGTCATGCTGAGGTGGCTTGTATGTTACTATGATGCTGGAAGCTATGCCACTGGTATTTCAAATACCAGCAGGGTCACCCATGGTGGACAGGTTTCAGCCAAGCTTCCAGACTAAGACAGACTAGGAGGAAAGGCCTGTTGGTCTACTTCTGAAAATTAGCCAGTGAAAATTTATAAATCACAACAGAACATTGTCTGACTTGCTTGCTTTGGAACGTCACAAGGAGGGATCACTTAGTGGAAGGGGGGCATCATGTTTGGTGAAGTAGAGGGCCAGCAAGGGCAAGGGAGACCGTTGGTGAGATGGATTGGCACAGTGGCTGCAATGATGGATTCAGACATGCCAGCAATTGTGAGGATGATAGAGGACCAGGCAGCATTTTGTTCTGTTGTAAATGGGGACGCCGTGAGTCTGAGTTGACTGGAGGACAGCTACTATAACAGTACATGATAATAGAGACTGTTTTTCTTGTCTTCCCTCCCCACCTCAAACATGATTCTGAGATTTTGATTTGGTAATCTTGTAGGGAATACACAGACTGTATCGTGATGCTTGATTTCAAACATTTTATTAAGAGTTTTCTGTGTTCATAAAGTGTATTACTCTAAATTGCAAGTAAAGTCTCTCATAACCTTGGAGTTCTTGGAGTATAAAATTTCTTAGACATTTCAAAGCATTTATATATATATATGTGCATATATATATATATATATATATATATATATATATATAAGTTAAGGGCTTTCTGCTAAAATGAAAGTATCTTTATGAACTGCTGCTAGTTATTAAGTTCAGGAGGGAGTTCCTGGGTAGTGTAAACAGTTAAATGCTCGGCTACTAACCAAAGATTTGTGGTTCAAATCCACCAAGAGGCACCTCAGAAGAAAGGCCTGGCAACCTACTCCTGAGCGATCATAGCCATTGAGCTGATGTGGAGCACAGTTCTACTGTGAAATACATGGAATCGCCATGAGTCGGAATCAACTCGATGACACCCGGTTTAGTTTGGTTTTTAGAAAGTTCAGTGCCTTTGGTAACTATCAGCCACATAGCACCAAACTCACAGACTGTCCTCCAGTTTTTTATGAGTCTTCTTCAGTTGAGAAGATTCATACTTGATTGTCAATGATTGTTTTTTTTAGATTGTTTAAATATCAAAAATACATTGACTCTTTCTAACGTCTGAATTGGGTTTTACAATTCTTTAATGTTTTAGTAGAATTCGCTGCTAGATTGTTGTTTCACTTTCCATTACACATTTTTTACAGGAGGTTGTAGGCAAATAGAGTACTTTTGGAGGTGTCTGCCCAGTTTACAACAGGCTCGTTTCTCTGAGATCTCACCCTTCCCCTGACAGGTGTGGTCCTTCTTCCCTCAAAAGTTGTGCATGTCCTACTTGCAGCCCCCCATCCTTTTGGCTACATGTAATTAGACAAAGGATGAAAAACAGACTCTAGCTGGATCATTTGGGTTATCCTGGGGATTTAGAATTGGGACCGAGAAATAGCTGGTCTTTAAACTGTTTGCTTGAACTGATGCAGTGAAAACTTGGAACATGTGCGCAACCATCTTCAGCATTGTTCATGGAGAAACAAAAAGGTTGGTCTAAAGGGAAGAAATGGCATTGATGGACAAAAAGAAACAAAGGTGAAAGTCAGAAAGAGAGTACTGTGGATTCTTGACAGCTTTCTGGTTTCTTACTCCTATACTTTGTGAGGCCCAGGTATTTTTCTGTACCTTAAAATACGTTAGTGATCCTCTAGTAATTTTCCCTTTTTTGCACATTCTTGCTCAGATGGGGTTGTCTTACTTAATAGCAAGAGAACCTTGACTGAGACATTAGATTAAGTTTAAAACAGAAGTACGTAGATGAGTATGACTATCCATATGCAAAAGAATGAAGATGGACCCCTTCCTTACACCATACATAAATGGACCAAAGACCAAAGTGTTAAGAGCTAAAGCTATAAAACTCTTAAAAGAAACCATAGGGGTAAATCTTCATGACCTTGGCTAAGCAAAGGCTTCTTAGATACACCAAAAGCACAAGCAACAAAATTAAAGAAAATAGATAAATTGGACTTCATCAAGGTTAAACACCTTTGTGCTATAAAATATGCCATGAAAAAAATGAAGACAGCTGATACAATGGGAGCAAATATTTGCGCACCATAATGTCTGAAAAGGGGCTTGTATCCTGGAAAAAAAAAATATATATATATATATGTATATATATTTATGTATACTTTTTTTTCTTATTGCCATTCTGTTTTTTGGGCAAGTAGAGACAGTTGTAGTGTTATGGAAAAATCTTTGGACTTAGCAATTGCTAGAGGAGGATGAACATAGGTGTTCTGTCTGTGATCTTAGAAAAATAATTTAAGTTCTTAGAACCTTAGTTTCAAAATCTTTAAAATGAGGGTAATGCTGGGCTTAAAAACTTTTTTTTCCTTTATAGTTTATAGACGAATGGAAGGTTTTCCTAAGAAAAATAAGTGTATTTAGGTTGTATCCTTGTTATCCTTGTTTCAGTATGTTTGTCTACACCGGTATTATCTCAGATGTTAATAAGCCTTTTGCAAACAGAAATGGTATCCAGCTTTGTCTAGTGCCTAGTACTACATCTGAGAAAATAGGTTTTCAGTTTACATTATTTGAAGAAGTTGAAATATTGATGACATCATTGGTGATCTTTGAAATATTAGGTGGTAGAGGTCATTGAAATATTAACTAAAAAGCTTATTTTAACTTCTCAGTATATTTCTTTTGCTTCTTTAAAATCATGTCATTTGATGTTTGAACATTTTTAGATATTAGGGTGGTATCTACAATATGTTAATCCTAGGTTTGGGTACTGATTTATGTTTTTAAAATTTTTAATTGTATGTTACTATTTTTCACCTTTTTGTTTTTTGATAAAATATCTTTTTTTAATGCGCTGATAAGTTTATTTTAGAGATATCTGTTGTAGTTGCATCTGGTTGCATGTATTGTTTAGTGGCTGATACGTGGCAAATACATTTTTATATTTCCATTTAGTGATGATGTGGGATGGGTTTCAATTTTCCTTGTTTTTTTAGTTTTATAGCCACATGTTCCTAATATACTAGCTTTTCCTTATTTGCAGAGATCCTGTATATTTTGATGAAAATTGGCTAAACAGAATCAAAACCGAAGTAGGAGATAATTGGAGACTAAAGGTATTCTCATCTGTTAATTAATCCTTAAACATTTGTATGTGTATAATATTTGTTGATTTTTGGTCTGCTGTGTCCAGTGAGCTTCAGAAACTCAGGCAGCCTATAGTGAAATAATCTAGGATTGAAAATTAAGGTTAACCTGAAGTTGCTCACCAATAAACAATGTAAATCAGTAAAGCATAGTGGCCAAGTGCCTGGACTCTGGAACCAGAATGCCTGTGTCCGTATCGCAGCCCTGCCATTTACTATCCTGGGAAAGTTGTTTAACCTTTCTGTGCCTCAGTTTCCCCATTTGTATAATTAAGGTTATAATAGGATCTACCGCACAGAAGTAAATGAGTTAATATATGTAAAGTGCATACAAAAGCGTTCAGCACATATATGTGTGTGTTGCTAGTGTTGTTATTGTTGTTAGGTGCCATCGAGTCGGTTCCGACTCATGGCGACCCTATAGGACAGAATGGAACTGCCCCATAGGGTTTCCAAGGAGCCACTGATGGATTTGAACGGCCAACCTTTAGGTTAGCAGCTGAGCTCTTAACCACTACGCCATCAGGGCGCCCGTTGTTATTAATTCTGAAAAAAGTTGGTCATTATCAACTGTGTCCAGAACGCTCATAGAATGAAACATTTTCATTTCCTTCCTAGTACATTAAGTTCCCATATTTCTCAAGCTTCTTTGACCAAAACCCACCTTTCAATCTTGTACGTGTATGTGCTTATTTAGCTGAAATAAGTTTTTACCCTTACTTTATACAGTGATGTTTTTATTTTATTTTGAAAAATATTAGTTGAAACCCTCTAAAGTGATTTTTTAACTTTATATTTTGAAATAATTATAGATCCACAGGGAATCACAAAAAGAAAAACAATGTACAGAAAGATTTCATGTACCTGTCACTCAGTTTCTCCAATGGTAACATCTTGCATAACTATAGTACAATATCAAAACTAGGGAACTGAAAATCCACGGAGTTCACTCAGATTTCACTAGTGTTACATGCACTCACTTGTGTGTGTGTGCGCATGTGTGTGCGTGTGTGTAGAGTTCTATGTAGTTATCACATGTAGAGTTGTTCACCACCACAGTGAAGATAAAGAACTGTTCCTGCACCACAGGGCTCTGGTGCTGCCTTTATAGTCACATCCATACCACTCCCCATCCATAATCCTTGGCAACCACTGATTTGTCCTCTGTCTCTATAATTTTGTTGCATTTAATTGATTTTTATGAGCCAATAATGGTCACAACCAATAGTTCAGAAAACCCCGGAACCATTTCTTTTTTATGTAGACTGATATATACCCAGAAATGCAAATGAGTAGGTGTGTGAAGCCTGTGGATTTATGATATGCTAAGCTTGGTCTGTCCTTACGTTTCCCCACAAAACATGTCTTTGATGAAAAGTGTATAATGACTGCTTAGATATTGGATCTGCCAAAATGTAATTCCTTCTTTTTACTAATGTAGAGTGAATGGGAACTGTCTGATGGCACTATTTTAATATCTACACAATCTTTCAAGACTAGGCAGTTAAAATAATTACTTTTTAATGTTATAGCATATGTTTAAAACAGTTTGCTACTAATCATTTGTGTTTGCTTGGTGGCTGACCAAAGAGTGAGTTGCATTCCCCTCTAAACAGACACACACAAATACACACACACACACAAATACACACACACAGTCTTCATTGTTATGAGTATGGCAATGTTAGCAATATGAAGAAGAGAAAAATGTTTATCATAGTGTTAATGTCAGTAACTACTGTTTTCAGTTCTGATTTTACATTCCTGTTCCTCAGTAGTTCACCCTGTTATATTTTCTTCAATCTTAAGATGCCATTAATTGATGATAAGATATATAACTTTTTGTTAGAGAGGGGGAAGAAAAACCTACCATTTTGAATGCACACACATTGATTTTTAAGACATTTTAATTTCAAATGTTAAAATATGAACAAAAGAACATCCTAGAATAAAGGACATAAGTTATGTATTTCCCATGTCTTCAAATATTTTCAAAAGTATAGGCATGTTATGTTAACTTTATTTGTGGAAAGTTTTTTTTAAATATAAATAAGCTAGTTTCAGGTTATTTTCTCCCTTAAAAATAATCACGTCTTTGATTAACCACTGGAGTACACTGCTGTCATCCAACCTCTTTTATTTGATAGCCACAAATAAAGCTACTGTCTTCTGTCCCAGGACATCTTCAGCTTACTAACAGTAGCCAGAGAAGGCTAGCTGATGATCAACAGAATCTTATTATATACCCGTGTACCTTAACACAAATTCAACAGCATGAGTTGTGTCCAAAAAAAAAAAACAAAAAGAGGAAAACTGTTAACAATTTACAGCACATAGTGCAGGTGATTCTGCCCGTCGTTTCCCCCAAATAGCATATGGCCAGTCAATTTATGCTCTCGAGTGAGTGTGTTGGGAGACGTCGGTGTATGCGTCCCTCATCCTGTCTTGTCAGTAGGGTGCTTTTTATAGCACACATATCTTGTTATTGAAGTATTTTAAGATATAACAATATTTTTTTTTAACCTAATGGCTGCTAAATATGTAGTTTGTTTGGTGTTCAACTAACGAAATAGCCTTTTCTGGCAGTGGAGGAATTTGGAGATATTATAATTTGTGGGTTATTTTCAGAGATTTCCAAGAGTAATTTTAACTATAATTTTTGTTTAATGCTCTGATTTTAGAGTTTAACCTCAATGTAAAATACAACTCCACTTTCCTAGGGACAGCAGCACTGAACTGAGGTCTTCATCAAGGATGGCATGTTTTTTTTTCCTTTACATGCAGAAAATCTGAATGATTTAACTTTACTGTTAAGTCTCATTCAAATATCCTCCAATTTTTGTCAGTGTGATCATAATGTTGAAAATTTTACATAATTGGAAACTTAATTTGTTTTATAAATCTTATATCAAATAATTTAAGCCATTACTGTATTTTATGCAAATAACACGTGCATTATATGTCTTTTACCAACCACGCAACCCCCTCCCCCGCTATTTTCATAAGTGCACATGGCACACATTGTATGTGTGGCGTATTATTTATGTAGGCACATTATTTGCAAAAAATGCAGTAGTCGTGTTTTGATGATGGTAATTCAAATATCCTATTAAATTTTATTTTTTAATTTACGTTATGATTAACTTGAATGATTGGTTGATTCAGAAAATTTTTATGTTAAAATATGTTTTGATCTGTGCTTGCCTTTTATTCAGTTGTTTTCTCTCTCTTTAAATAGATAAGCAACTTAAAGAAAATTTTAAAAGGAATCCTGGATTACAATCATGAGGTAATGGCTTTTTGGTCATTGTGTATCAAAATATTAGGATAGTTTAATTTTACAGTAGTTTTAAGTTAAGAAAAAATTGCCTTCACAATTAATAATCAGTTTGTCTACTATATATTTTCTAGAATGTTGGCTCAACGCACCGTTTACTTGGCAGTATGTAGTTTGTGGATGATTATTAATTTATGTTAAATTTTACAATGCTTGCTGCCATCTATTAACTCTCTTATCTTCCCTTACCTCTGAAGGTAATTGAGTCCATGCTTCATCATTATAATCAGCTCCTTTGCCTGCCTCCATTTTATTCCTTGGCAAAATTCCAACCCTGAATGAACTCAACTTATCCTGAGTGCATCAGTAGAGTCAGACATTGCTAGGGGAAAAAAAAAAAAAAGCGGTGGAACTAACTAGTTTAACTTTAAATTTCATGATTACAGTGGACACAACTACTACCTGGAAACCTACATTATTTCCCTAACATGGCCTTTCCCAGACTCTCTAAAAATACTACCTCATACATTCTCTCTCTTTAAACCTTCTTATCGCTCATCATCCCAGAGACCTTATAAGTGGTCAGACAGGAACTCTTATCAGATGTTTTCCCCGTTCATCTTACTTCTGTTCCTCAAATGTGCCAAGCCCTTTTCTTCCTTGGAGACTTTACACTTACTGCGTGGACCGTTCTTCCCTCATCTCTTGTCATTGCTAGCTCATGCTTATCCTTCAGATCCTGGCTTACTGTTACCTCCTCAGAGAGCTTTCCCTTAGCACTTGCTGACTCCAGTTGAGCACATTCATCTCCCACCCCCGTTATTGAGTCACATCACCCGGCTCATTCCCTTTAATCCTTGCCATATCAGCAGTGTTCTTATTTGTTGGTTTATTACATTCCTAGAGCCATGAGATGAGCTTGGGCCGGATCTGTTGTAGTTATTGGTACCTCCCAGCCCCCAGCACAGTGCAGTCATACAGTAGGCACTTTGTAATTTCAAATCATGTTAGATAAAGACAGTGAAATCTGTGAGAGCCAGAACTTGACAGACTGCCTTGTTTTCTGGGTCTCGCAGGTTTTCCGCCTTTGACAGGGTGCAGCCTTACCACTCTTCTGTCGCTCTCCTTAGTGGAAAACATTTGAGTTTTCCTTCTCTGATAGGTTTCTGCCTTACCAAGGTTCTGGCTTTCACAGGTTTTACTATATAATTTTGAAGGAAAACCCTTTCAAATAAATATTTCATTTCCAAGAATATATGATATTTAAAATATATAAATATGCTCATACAGTTAGTATTAGACATCTTGAAGACTGTAATGAACAAAAAGAATGTGATTTTTTTTTGGCTAGAATTAAAAAAATAATGCAGGTGATTATGCCTGTCATTTTACTTCCTAAAATGTTATTTCCTAAGTGTGCTAAGGAACAATATTTGGTAGATCTTTTGGGCTTAGAAGAAGTGATTATCCTTATTCTAAGCATCATGCTCATATTGTAAAGGATAAACGGCCCTTTCAGTAATATGGTAACTTTCAGTAAAGTATTACAATAAAAAAAGAAATAGAAAATGTATGGCAGTGAAGATGATGATATCTCAGGAACTTATACTGAGTGTTGACATGAGCCAGTATTGTGCTTAGTGCTACCCTCTAACCAGTTGAAATAAGCGCTGTTATCCCCGTCTTACAGATGAAAAACCGAGGCACAGATAGTCTACCCACATATACTTCTTTCTTCCCCCTCTTATTATTTTTCTTCTTTCTCCTCGCCTCCCCCACCTTCCCACCCCTGAAATATTCCTTGGCAATGCGTTGGGTTTGGTTCTATCAGTGTTACCCTGTGGCCCCAATTAGAGTTACTTAGCCCCGCTGATAGTGCCCACTGAGGAGGGAATCCAGTTGCTGAGGATAGTTCAGTGTCTTCAAAAATTTCCTTATGATCTTTTTAGAAACCTAATTTATACTCATTGCTATATGATTATAGGGAAGAGTTGGAGAGTCAGTAAGACTAAAATCAGTGTGTGTGGTTGGTGCTTGCTCAGTTTGAGCATACGCAACCGTTTAGTGAGCCCGTACCGTGTGATTTGTTACCAGTCTCCCATTTATTCTCTCTCATGGCTCAATGTTCGTTTCCTTCTTACTACCTACTGCAGTTTGTAATATATTTCTCTGTGCATTTCCTCACTCATTTTATGTTTTCCACCCTGGTCTATAAACTACATGAAGATAGAGTTCTTGCTAAAATAAACTCATGTTCTGACATTACCTTTTTCCCTTATTCTGGCAATTCCTTTGTCTTTCTCCTATTTGGTATTCCATTTACTGAATCCTATGTATTTCTCTTTCCGGGTTTATTTCTGTATCTTGGTGAAGCACATTTTCCAGTGACATCTTGAGAAAAGGTACATGATAGGTGAATTGTTTTAGCTTTTACGTATCTGAAAATATTTTAATTGTCCCCTCACGCTTGATGATTGAGTTGGATATGGAATTCTAGGTTGGAAAAAACCTCTCAGTATTTTGAAAATATTACTTCATTATCCTCTAGTTTCCGATGCTGCTATTGAAAATCTGTCATTTGAATTCCCAGTCTCTTGTTGGTAACTTGCTCATTTTCTGGAAGCTCTTAGGTAGGATCTTTTTATCTCCAATGGCCACGGTGGTGTGCTTTGGTGGGAGGTGTTCTGGTTTGCTGTATTTTTGTTTCTTTATTGTACTTGGCACTTAGCAAGCTCTTAAAATCTGAATACCCAGGAATTTTAGTTTAGGGAAATTTCCTTATTTTTTACTCATTTTTTCCTTATTTTCTCTGTTCTCTTTTTAGAGCTCATATCCAGCTATTGAACCTCCAAGACTGATCTTTTAATTATCTAACCTTTTCTCTTCTTTTTTCTGTCTTGTGTTTTTACTTTACTTTCTGAGATAATTACATACCTTTCTTCCAGCTTGCCTATTGAGATTTTCATTTCTGCCATCATATTTTTTATTTTCAGGAGCACTGCTTTGTTTTCTGAATGTAACTTTTATATACTGTCCTAGCTTTATGGATGTCATATTTTCTCTTATCTCTGAGACTATTAATTATAGAAGTTTTTAGTTTCATATTTAATTTAGTTTATTCATTTCATGAGTTGGTAATTCTAAAAAGCAACAAATGGGTAAACAGGGTAAAGCAATTCATCCTCCCACCCCAGCTTCCCAGATGCTTCCCAGGAGGCATCACTGTTACCAGTTTCTCGTATATCCTTCTAGCAATTGTTTTTCCTGTAGAAGGGGGAAGATTCAGTTTAATCTGGGTTGGGGGTGTATTTCTCTTTGTTTGATTCAATTTATTTTCCATATTATTCAGAATAAAATCCACATCCTTAATGTGACTCACAAGGACCTAGATGACCTGCCCCCGAACCCTAGCTCTTACCTCATCTCATCTGTTACCTCTCCTTTACCCCAGCCACACTGACCTTCTTGCTGTTCTTGGAATTCACCAGGTGTACTTTTACCTTAAGACTTTGCCCTGCCGTAACCTCTGCCTGGTGTACCACCACCACCCCCACCACGCCACCCCCCAACACCCGCCCCGTATAACTGTATGGTTTACATCCTCATTTCAGGTCTCTGCCTTAACATAGAGGCCTTCCTTAACTACCTTAAAAAAAAACAGCCCTCTCTCTTCTAGAACCTTCATCATTTTCTCATAGTAAAATAAGCATGCATTCATAAAAGTACATAAAATGTATATGTACAGTCTAACAGTTAGTTGTAACAGAAAACAGTCATGTCATCCAGGTGAAGAAATAGAAAGTTGCCACCACCCTCATATGGCCCGTGTTTACCTTCCTGATCACAGCCCCTTTCCTCACCTACTAGAGAAAACTACTGTCCTGTTCTTTTAAATGATCATTTCCTTACTTTTTTCTTGATAGTTTTACCACCTGTGTATATATCCAGTTATAGGATTTAAATTTTTTTTTCTTCCACTTCCTGTGTGGTTTGCTTTCCTCTGACTTTCTTTGTTTCAGTGTTTGTCTCTGATTGTCATGTTGGAGATTTTACGTAAATGGCTTGATGATCCTTGGTTGTTTGCTGATGTTAACAAATAAAGCACTGTAAAAAGCTGATCAGAATCAGAGTGGGGGTGCTTTTTAACTAATAAATTCCACCGTGAGTGTATCAAGCATAGCTTTGTCTATAGTAAGTCATCTAATTTGGGGCCAGTCAATTTCCTTCCCTGTAAAGGAATCCTCCAGTCTTCTTCCTGATATAGGTGTCTCGCTGCCAGCATTTTGGGAGTCAAATGAAGTGATGGTTGTTAGAAGAAATCTTACTGTTGGGGGTGAACTTGTATTTATTCTTAGTGTGTCTGGTGCCCCCCGCCCCCTTCACTCCCCCACCCCCATCCTGGTTCAGCACCTCTCTGGTTCTAATTCTCCAGAGAGTACACAGTCTTCTCTTGGGTGGAGGAGGGGTTGATAGTACTCAGTAAGTTGCTGTGATTCAAGGTTGTAATAATTTAGATATAAGAGGTAAACACAGAAACTGAGAGTAAGATTGGCACAACATCTCTGTCTTTGGCAGTGAGTTTCTGGTGCTGACAAACTAATCTCTATCAAATATTTTATCTGGTCATGTAAATGTAAATGCAATTTTAATCTTTTTATCTCCATTCAGATTTTAGGACAGCAAATTAATGACTTTACCCTTCCTGATGTGAACCTTATTGGGGAGCATTCTGATGCTGCAGAACTTGGAAGGATGCTTCAACTCATTTTAGGCTGTGCTGTGAACTGTGAACAGAAGCAAGGTAATTTCTTTGAAGTTAGTGTATGCATTTAAAATAAATAAAAATATTATATATTTTATATATAAATTACGAGTACAGACAATAACACCTTTTTAAGGCTACCCTCAAAGAATGCTGTCTTCTACAATTTTGCTAGTAATTTATTTTCAAGCTGAAGTTTTGAAAGCCAGAATAAATTTGATTGTGATGATGTGCTTCCCCTTTCTACAAGACCACATAATTCTTTGAGTAGATTATTTTTAGTGCATTTTAGCTCTACCGAATGTAATGAAATCCACTGTTAATTGGACTAAGGTCCACCTTTTAGTTTGGGAAAAATGAACAGACATGCACAGAAGTTGAGTAGGTATTCCCAGCATACGTATGTAATAGACAATAGACAGATGTCTTAGAGTTTTTTTTTTAAGACATACTGCATATGAAAACATTTACAAGTTAGTATTTACTGTAGGGAAAGAGGAAGGGAAGGAAGAGTATCATTATATCTAGTCTCTAAAACAATAAAAATGGTTTTGGAATTGAGTCCCCCTAAATCTGGTAGATATTCTTTCTCGGGAAATTACTTCTTTAACAATTAAATTTTAGATGCCATGGCTGTGTTTTAAAGGAAAGAATAATACATATATCAAAGTTGTTTCATTTCACTTTCTTATAAATAATTATACATTTTTTTAGAAATACCACAGGGATTTTGTATTACCATACTCTGAAAAGAAAACCTTGAAATAAAGGGAGTTTGGGGATTAATCATCACAAAGAATAACAAAGAAGGAAAGACACATTTAAAATAAATTAATGATTTGCCGGTGTATATGTCAGTATTCGAAAAATTTTTTGCTAATCATGTAAATGTGAAGTATTTTACTTTTCCTTGTGTCCTTGGTACTTGCAGTCTAAAATATCCAATTCTAAGTTCCCAGAGCTGAATTGATCCAATGAAGCATCTCATTATCATTATTACTAAACTGTTGGCTCACCTGTTAATTAATTCAGCAAATAAAATGTCAGTTTAGGAAATATTTCTAAGATTAAGAGCGTGGACTTCAGTGTCCAGCCAACCTGTGTTCAAATCCTATTCCACTTCTTATAAACTGTGGGATATTGGGTAAGTAACTTAATCTCTGCGTTTTGGTTTCTTAGTAAAATGGAAATGTTGGTACTGACTTCATAAGGTTATTGTGAGGACTGAATGAGGTAATGTATGTCAAACATCTGGTACAGTGTCTGGTACATAATAATGTTAAAGAAATGTTAGTTATTACTAGCAAACATGACACATTTTATTATAATTTTTTTATATATGGTATTTTAATTTTAGTTCAACTTTCTAATGTGTGTTTTCATGAGCTTTTTTTTAATGTCTGTTATCATACGGTGGTGTTTATCTAATGATTGATATTTATTCCACGAACATATGCCATGTAAGTTAGTAAAACCATTAATTTAGACTGAGGGAAGGCTAGTCTCAGTAAGTTAAAATTTAAGTTATAGGATTTAAAAAGTAAGTGTAGTACTTTTATGTGTACAAGTCCAATTCAACAAATTTTGACTTTGTTGAGGTGTCTTGAAGACCAGCTTTAATATATAGATAATAACGTAATTCACATGTTGTGTTTTAGTTTTTCCAAAGTGGTTTTCTTCTTAAAAAGCTTTTCTATTTCCTCGACTGACACTGCTGGATTTGCATAGAAATCACCTATTTCTTATAAAAATACTGTTTAAACTCCTCATACACAAAGTAGATATTTTTAGCTTAGTTACTAAATTTATTTTTCCCTCTTCTCTAGTTAATTTATCTCACAAATATTTATTGAACTCGTACATTGTGTCAGGGGTTAGGAACGCAGTGTTAGACAAACCAGATACAGTATCTGCTGCCTTCAGTGAACTTGCAGTTGAATGGAAGGGAAGGACATTAAATAACGCCACAGATAACTGTGTAATCATAACATTGGTGAGTGTTCATAAGGTAAAGAGAAATGGGAGACAGTCTACACTTGGTGTCAGGGAAGGTGTTTAAGCAGAGACATGGAAGATGATGGGTAAATCATCTGGCCAGTGGAAACTGAATGTAAGAAAGACCCTTGAGGGATTTTAAAAAACACAGCACTATAACTGGAGTGTCGTGAGGGAGGGGTGGAAGGAGATGAAGCAGGAAAATTAGTAGATAGGGGCTGTGCTAAATGATGACTACACATTGTTTGACTATTACTAAAGAAGATTTTTTTTTTTTTAAAAGCCCAAAGGCTTTTTCTCGTTCCCCTACTCCGCCCCTGGTAATGCAAAACAGATCTTCATTCATTTTTCATCTGCCCTGTTTGATGTTCTAGTGTTGAGTTTAAGAACAGTCAGCATTGTTTTCTTGAAGCCAAGAAGCTAAGACTGCTATTATTGGTCTCTGACCTAGGATTCTTTTTTTTTTTTTTCCTCTCTCTCTCTCTCTAGTCCTATTCCTTTTAGATTTTAGTATGCCATGTCTTAAAGTCAAATTTTAGTTTGCTTATGCAGTGTGGACTTAAAAATACAGAATTTTCTATTTCTAAGAAAGGGATAAAAATGATGAGTTCCTGTGCCCATGTCCACAAATTTAACCAAAAAGAACACATTCTATTCTGAAAGGCTGTAACATGAATAAGAAAGGTGTAGACACCTTGATCTTTAGACTAGAACCAGATGACTGATGCATTGTTTGCTCAAAATCGTGAAGAGCTGATAACAGCAACTCGCAGTGTCCCGTAGGTTAGTGAGTCCTTTTACAGAGTGGATTCTTACTTAAGTGCTAACGGGTTATTTTCTTTTACTGTTGTTATTGTACTGTTATTCAGAATGCAAGTTGCACAGGGAAATGAATCATTAAAGCATGTGTAAACATTGTTATATGTCTTTCCTCCTAAACTGAGAATTTCGAATAAAATGTCTTTGAAATTTTAAAAAATACGGTTTTCAGCATTTATGGTATTTGTATGCTACTGAAATATCCAACTAGTTTTCTCTCAAAGGTTAGAAAATTAGCATAGATGAAGATTTAAGAGACATTAAGTCTCTGAGAAGATGCTTTGATTTTAAGGTGAATGAGAAATTATTTAGCATAGTTCACTGGTATCAGATAATGACTTCTTAGGTATTTATTCTGTTAGGATATGATCACTTCCTGGGATTCTTTGTAATACATGAAAGTTCTTGGAAGTGTATAGCTATTAAGAGTTGGCTAGCTATCTTTATTATGGGATAGGACTAGGAAAAGACAAGGATGTTACCTATGCCCATTTTTCTATGGAAAAAAGTTATATTTACATATTCAGCTTCTCACATAGGGCCAAAGATTCATATACCACCTAGATTCAATTTTTTCCCTAAAATTGTACAAATGATGTGAACTTACTGAATAGAATATTAACATCCCACTTACCAGATTTAGAGCATTCTCCACTCTCAGAACACGTTGAGAACTAAGAAAAAAAGAGTTTGCGAATTGTTAAACGTTAGCTGTCACTGCCATTTACTACCTGATTGTCTCGAGACAAGATATTCAGCTGTTTCTTCTACAAAATGAGATACAAAACCTGGAAGTTATGAGTAAATGAAATTGTCTGTGTGTGTTTGCTTTATAATCCATAAAGCTCTATACAAATAAAAAGGGTTTTGTGTTTATAGATTTTTTTTTTAATCAAAAGAAGTGAGGGACAGTTACCCAGAACATACTGACTCAGAATACATTTATCTTGGCTATCTGACTTCTCAAAGTGGGGCAAATAAAATGGTAGTCATTAGGAAAAACAAAGATTAGTAGTAGAAGGCACACTAATAATAATATTTCCTGACTGTCTGCCTTCCGCCTGGTACTCTACTAGGCATTAACAAAACAAAAGCTACTTTTTACAAGTTAGGAAACTTGGACTTGTAAGTATTACATGACTTGCTCAAGATTTCTTGCTCGTGAGAGGCTAGACAAGGACAAAAATCCATGTCTCCTCTACATTTAAACTTAACGCTTTTTGTACTAAACTGAGCGGTAATTTTTGGTCCCAAAAGCTGCATTTTCAGGATAAAGTCCCTTACATAGCACACCTCATTCTCCAGCATTGCCTCATAGACGCGCACCCAGTAATCATACGTACTTGTATTTTACATTTAAAAAATTTGTAAATTTTTAAAAATTGTACATTAATGTAGTTTCTCATCATCATTTTATCATTTAGCATTTTACGGTGTTCGCGGGGAAGGGCCTTGACGTGGCAACACCGCTTCTTAACTAACGCTTCCCCTCTCACACCTTACTAACTTCCTAACCTCCCTATTCCTACTGTTCTTTTCTTCACTTCCAGTAAGCTATCATCAAGTTTTCCTTCCCCATTATCAGTGCCATTGCTGCTTCTCTTCCATATTCACAGTCTTTTCTTTTGAGGGCTGTTTATTCATTCTAGCTATGCTAGTTTCTCCATAGCCTTCGAATTCTGTGTTTAATACCTTTGAACAGAATGTCTAAAAGCATTCCCTTCCTATATTCTAACACTCATAGAGTGTTCTTTATTAACAAAACCAAACCAAACAAACAACATTGAGCTCAGACTAAAGGAATTATTTTTTACCAAATAGTGATTTCTGATGAAATGTAATATATTTCTAATGTTGGCCTAAGAACAATGCCTGTAGTTTAGATGTGTTGTGTATATGTGCATGTATGGGTATAAGTATGCTTAGGACAATACTTCCTTAAAAAATGTGTTTTCAATACACTGAAGGCTTTGGCATTAAGAGCCAGAATGTCATAATCTCATAATTTAATAATATTGTAATACTTTTTTTTTTTTTTGTACAATTCATCTGTTGGGCAGTAGATTACAGTTTTGCATTCCAAATACATGAGGCACTTGCCAAAAGATCCCCTGACAATTTTACAGTAAGACTCCTTCATAGAATACTTGGAGGGGTGAAAAGATTTTTTGGATAATTTGATTATGATGATATAGTTTATTCGTGATTTGATTTTTGGATGATTTGGATTTGGGGGCCAGGTTGAGGCTAAAATTTCCTAATTAGTACCCTTTTAAATGTTTTTTAAAATGTATTTTCTAAGTTTGTTGGAATCCAGCTGATTTTTTTTTAAGCTTAATGCCACTTTCGTCATCTGTTGTTGGATTTGCAAATGCTGAAAACTGTGCCCAGGGCTTTTTTTAGAAGGCAAGAAATCATATTTTCGACTTTGTCACCTCTAACAGCTAAGAGTTTCTTCTCTTTTTTTGGCAGTGATGAGGCTGAGATGGAGTTGTTGCTTTAGCTTGTTAAAGATGTGGGTCATTATTGTAAAGCCCAGGATTATACAATATTCATTTGACATGGTAGCAACTGCTATCTTAAATTTATCTTAATTCTTTATCCTAAACAGCTATCAGATTCATTAAGTTTTTTCTTTTGTATAGTAAGAAATATTACAGTAGGAATTTCACACAATTCAAAGCTTTAATTTCACATAAGAAGAAAGCACAGATTTCAGACGTTTTCATATACAGCAAAGAATAACGTGAAAGACATCTTTTAGTTTTTCTTTTTTCTTTTTCCCTTTCTTTTTACATTGACACACATGCTGATATTGTGTTCCCATGACTTTTAACTGTAGCCTCCACTTAATTGATAAGGAATAATGAGGGGGAAATTCTCGTAAGGAAAGATAAACAATGTCATTTTTCAGCCTGTACTACATTACCTGTGGTACATAGATTTAAGCATATATGAAGGATTCCTAGGAGAATCAAAACACAAGAAATTATAAGAATTTGTGCAGTATTAGCCTTTACTCCCTTGACTATCTTTAACTTGAACAGTGACATTCCAGATTGTTCTTGTTTTCAGAGTACATCCAAGCCATTATGGTGATGGAGGAATCTGTTCAGCATGTTGTCATGACAGCCATTCAAGAGGTAAGTTAGAACTTTTTGTGCTTATAGTTTGTGAAAAATTAAAGGAGCAAACATGAGTTTAAGTAATAGTCAAGTAGAAATTTTAAAAAGATTCTGCTACTCATTTTTACAGAATTTTTTTCTTTAACTTATATAGGTTTTTATTATTATTTAAAAATCATACTCATTTAACTTTCTCATTTTTATTTAAATCTTAAACATTTATCTTGTCATATAGATGTTCAATAACTATTCCTAATTTTAAAAATGGTCTTAGTGAGCTAGGAATAGTAGACTAATGCTTAAAGCCATTATAAATAATACCTATCTTAAACCAACAGTCTACGTTATACTTAATTATTGGTTTCCTGTCTGGCAGAAAATGGGTCTTCAGCTCCTCTGTACCTAAAGCAATATGTAGATGCATTATTATATTAAATGTAAAGCATAAAGCTATAAAAGTAAAAATAAAAATTGATTAATAGCTGGTTAATCTCAGGATAGGGGAGTGTTTTTAATCATAAAAGCAACAGAAGAAGCCCTTAAGGAAAACAGAAAATTGCATATAGGATGTGAATCCACAGCTAACAGAAAGAAACACAAAAGACAAACTTAAAAAATGGTAAATGCGAATTAATATAATGATTTTTTTTTTTAATTCTTTCAAAAAAGCAAAGCTTTTTCAAAGATGAGTTTGTCAGTCCACACTGATAGTAGGCATATAAATTGATGCATTTTTTGAAAACATAGATCCTTTTATATCATATAAGATTAGGTTTGTCTTTGATTGTTAAAATATCAAAATGACATTCATCTAAGCAAGATAGAAGTTTCATTTCTTGTTAAGTGGATCTGGCCTGGTATGGAGGCTCTGTAGTCAACAGGGACCTAGCTTTCTTCTGTCTGTTGCACATTCTTAGTATGTGATTCCCACCTAGGTTCATCTGTGGCTACTCAAGCCCCAGTTATCACGTTAACATTTCTAACCAACAGCGAGGATTGAAGAAGGGTTATCTACTTTCTCTGAGGAAACTTCCAGTAATTCCCGCTTGCGTTAGCCAGAATTTACTCACACAGCCCCACAGGGAGACTGGGAAATGTGGTCTTTATTCCAGGTGGTCACAGACCCAGCCAAAATTTGTGGATTCTAAGCAAAAACAAGAAAATGAGTAAGGGGGCCACTAAACATTCCACCTCACTGTAATTTATTCTTTAATTTCACTTCTAGGAATTTATCCCAAGGAAACCTGAAATATGAAGATATGTAATTATAGTACTACCAGACATTTATATAATACCTACAATGTGCTGGATAGTGCTAGTGCTTACTAAGCACATTACATCTGTTAAATCATTTAAAATTCATTACAATCCTGTGAGCTATGTACTGTTATTGTCCCCATTTTATGAAAGAGGAAATTGAGTCATAGAGAGTTAGAGTAACTTGCTCAAGGTCGCCACTGGTAAGTGGCAGAGCTAGGATTCAGATCTAAGCAGTCTGAGTCTAGAGTCCATGCTCTTAACCATTGGGCAATACTGCCTCAAGACTGTTTATTTAAGTGTTATTTTTTAGTACTGAAACATTAGAAACACTCTAAATGCCCAATAAGAGAATGGATAAATTATGTTAGAGTAATATATTAGAATATTATGTAGATGTTAAAAGCATATTCTTGAAAAATATTTAGTGATATATGGAAAAGCTTACAATATATTAGGTAAAAAAAAAAAAAAGGTGGGATACAAAGCACTTGAACAGTATAATCCCATTTTTGTTTAAAAAAATAAAATTAACCTGACTGTAGACAAGTAAGAAAATTTGCCAAAACATAATCTTCAGATGGTTGGATTTTCTTTACTCTTCTATATTTGCTAATTTTTCTGTAATAACAGGTATTATATCTATAATTAGGAAAATATTTTAAAATTAATATTCTGTAACCAAGTGATTTTCATTCTATGACTCGATCCTTAGGAATTATTTAGAAATTCAGGCAAAGGCTGGGCAACAATATTTATCAATATTTATCAGACTGTTTTATATTAACAGAAATGTGGCAAGAAGTAAACATCCATCAGTAAGCAAGTGTTTAAATTATGGTGCCTCCATACAGTGGAATGCTATATACAAAAAAAAAAAAAAAAAAAACAGCCAAAAAACAAACCCGTTGCCATGGAGTTGATTCCAGCTCACAGCGATGCTGCAGGACAGAGTAGAACTGCCGCATAGGGCTTCAAGGTGTAATCTTTAACGAAGCGGACTGCCACATCTTTCTCCCGAGGAGTGGCTGGTGGGTTCAAACTGCCAACCTTTTGGTTGGCAGTCGAGTGCTTTAACCACTGTGCCACCAATGCTCTTGGAATGCTAGATAGCCAATAAAAATTTGTTTTAAAAAAGGTTATCTTACAACAGAGAAAAAACATTTAAAATGCAGAGTGAACAAAGTAAGATATAAAATAGAATCCTAATTAAGTTTAAAAACAGATAATAATGTCTATTATGTGCTTATACATTTTATTCACTTAGCAACTACTTATTGAGCACCTAATATACACCAGGCTCTGTAGTAGGCATAAGGATACAACTATGAAAAAGATAGACATGGTCTCTTGCCTCACAAAGTATGTCTCATGGGGAAATAGCTAAACAAGCAATTCAAATACAAGATGAAAAGTGCCATGATAGGGAAAATATAATAACACCTGAAGGGAGTATCTAACTCAGATTGGGGACATTAGGGAAGGCTTCTCAGAGGAAGTGGAATTTAGGCTGAGCACTAAAGGATGAGATGGCGTAAGGGAGAGGCAAAAATTGTTCTGAAGACCAGGGGGCAAGAGAAAAGCAAGACCTGCATGGCATGTTGGAGGTATTGAAAGAAGAATGCCTGTAGCAAACGCTGTGAGGTAGAAAGTGCTTAGAGATGAAACGAGATATAAGATCATTAAGACATTGTGCAGTTTTGTTAAAAAGATTGGAATTTTGGAAATCAGTTATGATTTTAAGAAGAAGATACATTGAGGTTTTTATTTGAGAAAATCCCTGCAATGGGAAGAATGGATCCAAGGAAAATAAGGCTAGAGAAAAGGAGACCAGTTAAGAGACCCTAGTAATTACCCGGTGAAGAATGATGGAAGCCTGAATTAGCTTATGACAGTCAGGTTGGAGAGAAATGGACAGATTTGAAAGTTACCAGAGCTTGAATCAATAGGCTTGGTGATTGATTGGACCTGGGAGATCAAGGGGGTTGTTGTTGTTGTGTGCCATCGAGTCAATTCTGACTCATAGTGACACTATAGGACAGAGTAGGACTGCCGCATAGGGTTTCCAAACTGGATTCGAACTGCTGGCCTTTTGGTTAGCAGCTGAGCTCTTAACCACTTCGCCACCGGGGCTCTAATCAAGGGAGTAGCTGGATGAATTTATGGAATTGAAGAAGGGTTTTTGTAAGATGATAGTGTTTTTTAATTTTTAGTTTAAGGAATAATCTATAGGTGTTTATTTAGGTGCTAGCTACTTTGAGTTTATGTGTTTGGGGGCGTGTAAAATACATATATATTGAATTTACAATTAGTGACATTTAGTACATTCACAATGTTGTACAACCATCACCATTATTTATTTCCAGAACTTTTTCATCATCCCAAAAAGCATACCCCATACCCCTTAAGCAGTTACTCCTCATTCCCCATCCTCCCAGCACCTGGCAACCACTAATCTGCTTTCAGTCTCTATGGATTTGCCTGTTCTGGATATTTCATATAAACAGAATTATACAGTATATGACCTTTTTTGTCCGGCTTCTTTCACTCAGCATAATGTTTTCAAGGTTTATCCAGGTTGTAGCATGTGCCAGTACTTCATTCCTTTTTATGGCTGAATAGTATTCTATTCTATGGATATATCCATTCATCAGTTGATGGACATTTGGGTTGTTTCCACCTTTTAGCTATTGTGAAGAGTGCTCCCATGAACATTTGTGTACAAGTTTTTTGTTTGAACACCTCTTTCAGTTCTTTTGAGTATATACGCAGGGGTGGAATTTCTGCATCATATGTTAACTCTAGGTTTAACTTACTGAGGAACTGCCAACCTATTTGCCACAGCAGCTGTACCATTTTACATCTCACTGGCAAAGTACAAGCTTTCTAATCTCTCCATGTCCTCACAAGTTTATATTTTCCTTTAAAAAAAATCACTATCATTATTATTATAGCTAGTCTAGTAGCTGTGAAGTAGTATCTCATTGTGGTTTTCATTCACATTTACATTTCTCTAACGACTAATGCCAACACCCATCTGTCAGTTTGTTGTCCTGTGTGTTGGCTTGTGTGTTGCTGTAATGCTGGAAGCTGTGCCAGTAGGTTAATCCATAGTAGACAGGTGAAGCTTCCAGACTAAGACAGACTAGGAAGAAGGACCTGGCAATCTACTTCTTAAAAAATTAGCCGGTGAAAACCTTATGAATAGCAGCAGAACATTGTCTGAAATAGTGCTGGCAGATGAGCCCCTCAGGTTGGAAGGCACTCAGAATATAACTGGGGAAGAGCTGCCTCCTCAAAGTAGAGTCGACCTTAATGACGTGGATGGAGTCAAGCTTTCAGGACCTTCATTTGCTGATGTGGCACGTCTCAAAATGAGAAGAAACAGCTGAAAACATCCATTAATAATGGGAACATGGAATGTACGAAGTATAAATCTAGGAAAATTGGAAGTCGTCAAAAATGAAATAGAATGCATAAAGATCAATATCCTAGGCATTAGTGAGCTGAAATGGACCAGTATTGGCCATTGTGAATCAGACAATCAATATGGTTTACTATCCGGGAATGACCAAGAGGAATGGCATTACATTCATCTTCAAAAAGAAGGTTTCAAGATCTATGCTGAAGTACAGTGCTGTCAGTGATAGGATAGTATCCATATGCCTACAAGGAAGACCAGTTAATACGACTAATAATCAGATTTACCCACCACCCATTAATGGCAAAGATGAAGAAATTGAAGATTTTTACCAACTTCT